ATAGACATATCATAAAATGATAAAGAGCACTTATTAATTATTGGATCTAATGGCTTTAAAACTTTGAGAAGACTTTAAGAAAGTTCCTAAAAGCATTATGAAATGATGTGTGTGTAAAAGAAGTGGGGGTGGGGGTGAGGATGGAGGAATTGTTAGCTGATAGTGTAGAGGAAATAAACCATATTATCAACTAGCCCATGCTTCTCCAGTTTGTCTGCAAGAACACAGGAAGCCTAAGAGGCTTTGACAAACCCTTCATGGAAATCAAGATTAAACTGCTGACAGCATTACTCTAATCTACCATTCAAACTCTAGTCAAATACAAGGTTAATTTTATGTATTTCATTTATTGTGAACTCAAATAGGCTTTTGATAATTAATTCTTCTATTGCAGAGACTCAACATCTATCATTGTTCTACAATTACTTCAGGAATTCTCACTAAGTAGTTTATTAATTTTTCAGCAACACTTATTTTTTCTGTGTTTTGAAAACTGGGATATTTGCCCTATGACACAACTCTTAAACATCATTTCAAAGATTTCTAAAAAATATTCTCATGCCTTTAATTGCTAACTTCCCTGTAGTCATTTGGTATAAAATTTATCTGACTAGAAATTCAGAATAATATGTAAAACAATATAGTGCTTTCTTATTCTCTGCTTCTTAAAATATTAGATGATTTGCCTTAATATAAGTACTTCTTTTAGTAATTATAATTGTTATATTGTTTATATATAATCAGTACCAGCTTTGTCTTGCTCTGATATGCCATGAGGGATGTTCCCATCTTTTTCCCTTAAACGATTTTTAACACTCCTCAACTGCAATGATTTGATTTTTGAACCACTCTTATATGTTCCTTTTTCAGTGTTTCTTATAAGCATTTCTAAAACTTGAAAGCCTAGTCTTTCTTCTGTCTCCCCACTTTTCCGTCAAGTAGTTAAGAGTTTGGCAATGACTGAAGATGTTTTTCATTCATTACAACAGAGGGGGTGGGGTAGTCCTGGCATCTAGTGGGTAGGGAGCAGAGAGGCTGCAAAACATTTTCAATGCACAGGACACTCCCCCACAACAAGAATTGTCCAATTCCAAAGGTCAATGACAAAAAATCCTGCATTGCAGGTCTCACATATCTTACCATGGCTAAATACGTGATTACAGGTCAGAATTTTGTTTTGAGAACATCTTGAAATTTCATGTGACTTCATTTCTTTTATTTTTAATATTTCCCTATAGGATCACACCTATTTTTTAATTGAACTTTCTGTAACCTACACATTTAAGGTCTAGGAATCATTATCTGACTGGATTATCCAGTTTTCCCTTCCTTGATTATTGCCAGTACCAAAATGACAATGGTCATATTATCTTTAAGCTCATGTCATGGCCATATTACTAAATAGTGCTTTGTCTGAGTAACTTGTAGACTATTTCCCTTATTGCTTCTACTTGAGGATAAAGAAGGATTCATTAAAGCAAGACAATAATCATCTGTTTAATGACTGTCCTGGACTCCTGTGTTCAATGTCCTTCTTTAATAATCATTCATCCATTCTACAGATATTTATAGAGCACCTATCATGTTCTAGAAAATGTTTTATGTTAAAAATTCTGGAGTAAATAAGACAAAACCTCTACTTTTATGGTGATTATGTTCTAGTGGAAATAAAAAAATGCCCATTTTCTTTAACCATTTTGATCTTGTTCTTCTATATGTTAAAAAACTAAATTTCAACAACAAATAATCAGTTACAAAAGTTCATTCAGACTTTTCCCCCCTTTCACATATACCTCTGTTAATTGGGAACTGTCAAGAACCTATCCATTAATTTCTGAACTTCACTTTTTTGCAGATGTCAATCTATTTTTAGTTATAAATTACTTTGTGTGCATTCTAAAAGTCTGACTTTGGAGTAAATTTTGAATGGAGGGAAATCAAATATTTAATGAGCTGAACCAGTGGTAATAAAAATAGTTAATCTGGCTTTTAAGGAAAAATAGCCATAAAAGTAAAGATGGAAAATTGTGAGAGGAAAGAGATCAGTCATGCTTGAAACTTAATTTATTTGCTATGCAAGAAGAAAGAGAAGGAGAAGAAGAAAAAGAAGAAAGTAAAACAAAACAAATGTCAAGAAAAAGTGAAGAAAAGAAACAATAACATCCATTTCTAGGATAACTGTAACTTAGAGTAATTTTTTTTTCTGGTGGTATTTCTATTCCTGAGAAATCTTTAGAGTTCCATACTTATTTTATGGCATATTCCTCAATAGTTGTGGATAAAATTGGCTTCTTTCTTAGGTACTCAGAAGCATAAATGAAGCAAATAGTATAATTTTATTATTCCAACCTGAATAGTCTTTGATTTGATTTTATAGATTTTTTTTTCATTTCTTGGTGCTTGTTTTCTTACTATAAGCTAGAATATATGCATGCTCCTGTTAAATAGTCTACTAATTTGTTAAAACATGAACAAAAAAAATGTTGCTTTAAAAATCTCACACTTTGTAAAGCTATCTCTTTTTAACTAATATTTAACTTACAAATATTGCATTTATTAGAAGCTGATTCTCATCTTCTCTTCTCAAAGATCTTTCGTAACTAGGAGTTTCTTGTTATAAAAAGTACCAGGAAACAGTATGCATATGACTTTAGAAAACTGATTGTATTCTGTGGAGTTTATGGAAAATGAGATAAATTCTAATACTCTGGCTTATAACTGGCTTTCTAGTGATGATTTTGAAACAGAAAACCGCTTATTTTTTCCTTAAAAGTCACAGTGGTACTGACGGATTGTAAAGAAATTGCCTTTGTTATTCAAGCAAAGCCAAGAGGAGTCACTTCTTTTTTCAAGTCCAGGCAACATTCTGAACACCAGCAAGTTACCTGGTCTCCAGGAACCTAAATTTCCTCAACAGTGAACTGAGTAAAAATATGTATCTCATAGGGTCTTTCTAGAAACTAAATGTGAAACTACAGGTTAGTATTTGCTATAAAGAAATCACATAATAATGAAGTGATATTCCTCTTTCATAATCTTAGGCATCGACTGTCATATTTCATTTGTTAGAAAAAATACTGAAAGAATCTTAAACGACATCTAGTGTACCAAGCATCTGATGCTAGAATAGTTTATAGATGTCTTCTAAGCACTAGCCTGTGCTTTAATTGTTCTAATAAAATAAAAAGTGTTACCTCCTAAGGCATCAGACGTTGGTAAAAATTATGTTGAAACTTATGAGACTGCCACTTTTATAGGTCAAAACAGCCCAATATTGGCAAACTTCATGAGTCAACCTAATGCAAATCCTACTCACAAGATAATTCTATATGATAAAAATGTGATGTGACTTGATAAGGCTAGAATGTAGAGGTAGCTGTATAATTGTTAAAAACCATTATTAAAAAACACTTTTTGAGAGAAAATATAGTAGTCATTAGGAGCCTAGACCAGGGGTCAATAAGTTGTAATCTATGGACCAAATCTAGTCCACTATTTTGTGTAGCCCACGGGATAAGAATTCCATTTGCATGTTTAAACAGTTGGGGGAAAAAAGCTGAAGAATACTTTGTGACATATGGGATTTATATGGAATTTAAAATTTTAGTGTCCATAAATAAAGTTTTTATGGAACACATCCATGCTCCTTCATTTATATATTACCTAAGTCTGTTTTTCTGCTGTAAAGACCAAGTTAGGTAGTTGATACTATGACTTCACAGCTCATAAAGCCTAAATACTACCTATCCCTTCAGGGAAAAAATTTGCTGACCCCTATTCTAGAGTCATACTGCCTGTATTCAAATGCCAATATTACTACTTCTTAACTAGGTAATCTAGGCAAATTGTTTAATATTTCTGAGCCTGGTAAAATAATTTTAAGTGCCAAGCATATCACAAATACACTATAAATGTTACTATGATTGTTACTAACAATTAATACTCTTCTGGGGTGCCATTGTAAATGATTAAAAAAAGACTTACAAAAGCTGAAAAGTTCAAATGGGCTATGACTGTTACATTGATATATCATGATATGAAATTCAAACAACTTTCATCAGCATCTGTGAACTTAATAGTAAAATGCAACCACTTGCTCATATAATTTATTTTAATATTTACATCTCACTCTAACACATGGTTCATTTCAAGTTAAAAATATTTAAGCTTCTAAATTTGCAAATGCTAAGCTGCAACATAGGGGCTGTTTTGTCCCTTGGACAATGAACATCTGCTGAAACAATTTGTCCAATGGAGCTTTTGCTTCTGCTGGCCTTTTTATTTTTTATTTTTTTTTAAAGAAATGGAAAAAGGATCATTGTTTAACTGCAACTCTTCTCATCTTCTAAACCAAGAAATTTTCTCTTGGGACAACATGTTTCTAGGACTTGGAAATGTGAAGTGACCTCAACTGTTTATTTATTTATTTATTCCCATTCAAATAAGTGAAGTTTTATTTTGAGTGCCTTATCTTTTTTTCTTTCCTATTTAAATATTGTTTGAAAGACCAGAGGCTCCCAACCTCAAACTGTCCCAAGATTTCAAGATTCTGTATTGACTTGAGTTCTGCAGCACTTTCTAAATCTGAAAAAGACTACCGAAAAAAGACTAGAGGTAGAGTAGGATTATCACACAGCAGAAGCAAGGTTTTATATTAGAAAAGCTTCTTAGAAATGGCTCAGATCTATTACTTATTGTATGCAAAGTTGTAAAGGTCTGGTGGGAAGAGGATCCAAAATCTTAAAAATAAAATACTCCCAAAGCTAAAATTTCAATAGCAGCCTAGTGATAATAGATGCTTTAGGACTGATAAACTTTAAGTCTAAGACTTATCAGTTAGGTTACTTCTCCAGCTTTTCTGCATTAGTTTCCCCAGGGGAAGTAAAGAGAGGACACTTGAAGCACTCAGCTTTATGAGGCATTCTTAAGGAGTTGGAGAATAATAACTATTAGAGTTCTCTGGGTAAACCAGTTTCAATTAAAGATGCTTCTTTTGTTACCTTGCTTAAAAGAGTTTCTGGTCCTTGGGGATTACATCAAGAGCAATGAATTGTATCTGAAATGGGGAAGGGAAAGAAAGTGTTGTCAAATTTCTTGTTAATTCATAAGCATGAAGTGTTGTTTACAGTACTCCAATAGGACAAAGTAGCCTGAGACCTGCAAATCAACATTTAAGCATTGAAGAGTTTCTGTTTGCCATAGAAGTGAGGAACCTTGCAGTTTTCAAATGGAATGAGTTGTATTGCATATAAATTATTCCTAATATTGTTTTGTTTTCTACTTAATATGTTTATTTATAGAGTGGTTGAATGTATAAAGAAGAAGTTCAGTTAGTTACCAACTCAAAAATAGTTTGCCACGTGTTATATATTTTGCCACTTAGTTAAAATCTTTAGCATTCTTTGGTACGGAGACTTAGGATGCTTGTGGGATGGAGGGAAATTTTTCTTTGAGTGAACTGTAAGAATCTTTTGGATGACAGTCAAACACTTCTGTAATTTCCTTCACCATTTTTAGATTCTTTGGCATCACTTATTTCAAGTATGTCTCTGGAATGTCGGGAAGATGCCACACATTATTTTGAATATTGTGTTTTAATATAATATCAGGCAAAATTTATTCTTAGAGAATTCAGAAAAATAGGTAGGATGCTTTATTTTCTTATCTTTTTGTCAAAACACAAAACTTTAATTAAGAACCAAATGGAGCTTCTGGTCAGTTTTCTACCTGTGAAATTAGATTGGAAAGGAATTTTTATTCTCTGGCTATAGACAGTAACAGATTTATATGTAGAGGGGGAAAGAATTGAGAAGAAGGGAACCCATAATTTAGACTTATCTCTTAAACTATCAAATGGTCCAAAATTGTGAAGTCGTTTTGTTCTGGATATTGGCACTTGAGTCCTCTACATTTAAACTTTTTAGAAGAATGAGTTTGCTAATACTTTGAAATTAACTTTCTCTTATCATTTTCCAAGTTGAAGAAATCTTAGATTTAAAATTCTATCACTGCTAGCTACTCTAATTCTCTTAAGTGAGCATGTTAAATTTGTTGTGCTGGCACCAGTAGACATAGGAAAAGAAAGAGGAAGACAGACCTCATGAGATCATCTAATCCGCACTAACGTCATTTAAAACAGTTGGTTCCTTAGTTTAAGGTTTCCAAGAGATTTGTTACACCTGAAATTGCTGTATGACTAGGTCTCTAATAATAAAAGAGGTTTGCTTGCCTTTCTGATCAAGAATCACTGCAGTATCAAACAAAGGATGAATTCTTTCCTAAGAAGCTTATGACTAATTCAGGTCTCTACAAGCATTCCAGGAACAAGATTCTTTTTCGTTACCAAGATCATAAGTGTGATTTTGGCCCAGAAGCTGAAAAACTACAGCACATATGCAGTGTCTCACTTGTTCTGTGAACCATTTTTTTTTTTCATTCCTGTGTTCCAAATTTTTTTTCCTATCCTTGTGATATTGGGAAACAGCAGGTATGAGTATTTTTAGCTGGCTTACCTGAATCAGTCTCTCCCCAAGTCAACATATTTGAACTAACAACAATCACAACAAATTCTTAGCAGGAAAAAAAAAAAAAAAAAACCCCTCCCTGCTCACTATTTTCTAGCTCCTGTCTTGTTATTTTTAGTTTTGTGACCTTGGGAAAATCATTTACATTCTCTGAATCTTTTTCCTCTTCTTTGGAGAATGAGTCTAAAGGACTATAAGAGTCTCTTTTGAGCAAATTTGAAGCAATTTTGTGATGAAGAAAGGGCAGTGGGAGAGATACACGTCAGGAATTCCTCACTTCTACCATTCCCACAAGGACAGCAGACTTTTAGCTATGACCCCAGTTTCATTAGTTATCTTAATTTTGGGGATAAAAATTCACACAAAGCTAATGTATTTAAAGCTGATGGGAGAGAGATTCTGAATTATAACCTTTCATTTTAGCTATTTTTTTTAAAAAACAGTTTTAAGGGTTGAAACCTGGTATGTTTTAGATTAAAAAACTGAATCACATATCATGTGTTAGTCTCTGAAGAAATAACAGTTACTAATGCTAATCATTAACTTTGGTGTTGACTTTTCCCTTGTAATTAACAAAATGAAACTTTTCATCATTTCCCAGATTTTTATGATAAATGTATTTCTCTCTAGCACTGCTTTGTTAAAACCCTCCAGAAAAGTTCAAACTATACTCTATTGATAAAGTGTTCATAAAGATTAACTTTTAGTGATTCCATTTCATGGACATGAACAAATAGAATCTTTTATCAAGAGGTCAATTCTTCATTGATGGCTTTGAAGGTGGGGGGAAAATTTTTGTTGATAAACCCCGTATTGCAATTCTTGAGATTGCCTCAAATGGCAGATATGTGTTTGATGATTGTAAAATAACCAGTTATGCCCAGATGATATAGTCAACACACTGGAAATAGGAAAAGGAGCTAGTTGTGTTTCACTTCCTGAATTTTTATGTCCAAAAGCAGAAATGTTTTGGTTACTTCTTGTTTTGTGGAGCTGTTGCAAAAATGTCATTTCATTGCAATGTTAGAGATAGTGAGTTTTACTTAACTGTGTGGAAAGTCTATCACTAGGTATATGCCAAAGTGTTACTGTAGAATTGGTTTAACATGAAAGATCTAGAAGCATATCCTTTCTATTAGATGATGTTAGGATTCATTATCTTTCAAATATAAAAATATTCTTCATTTTAACTGTCATCTGTTTAGTGCATTAGGCTGACAATGTTATGCTGGCTCAATGGCACCATGGAGCATTATTGTCCATTACAGAAAATTGTGCATGGCAAATAACAGATATAAGAAGAGCTAGTGATCAGTTACAATGCTAATGTTCATAATTTTTTGTCACTACTGAAAAGAGTAAATAAAAATTTCCACAGAATCCACAGTACCTGAATAATGCAAAGTTAAAAATGTACACACATTACAAAACTGAGATAATGTAAATAATTTTACACCTTTTATCACAAATTAGAGGAGACTCCACTAAAGTGTCTATGGCTTTCAACTTTAAAACTCTTCATAGTCTAGTTTGTTTTCAAGGTGGATTTTATTAACTATTACTCGAAAATTAAAATTATACTGCAGATTGATTTTGACAAATGGAGAAAATAATCTAATTTTTTTTTCATTTGAGTTCCTGAGGTAACCAGAGAGAAAACCAGTAACTTTGTAAATACAGTGACGTCTCCAGGAGCCTTTGAAAACCAGAATGGATATAACTGTATAAAAGATGAACCTATGAGGATAATGTCCAAGTACATTATTTTCTTCAACTGTTCTGATTCAAGGGTGCCTCACTGGAGAAGAATTCAAATAATAAGATAATAGCTCTCTTAATACTCAGATTCATTAGACGTTTGTCCAAGATAACCTAGAATCACAAATAGAGTACTTTCATTTTTGCACAGAAATAAAGGGTGAAGAAATTCAGAAGTTCAATTTCTAAAAAGATCATTAAAACACTCCTCATGTAGGTGTTTGCCTACAGGAGGTATTGGCTATCTGTGTGGCCCTAGTCATTCAGTTTATTTTCCTTGAATAAAAATGGCCCCACTTTTATCCATACCCTGGGTCTCTTATGTAGTGGGAAACACATAATTTTCCTGTTCCTCCTTCCATCACTCCCAGGAGCTCCACTCCTCAGGGAATTGTGAATCTCAAGGGGGTTGTTCTTCTCATTTTACCCTTTCATTCTCAGCTTCCACAGTGTGAAAATCTCTTTCCTATCTCTTCCTCTTTTAAGCATCCCCTTCTATTCATTCTGCAAGAACCTAAAATGAGCACGTGTTTTCATTTATCTCCCTAAAACACATTTTATACTAGCTGGGTCGATGATCTGGTGTATTTCCTGAGATAGGAGGACATTATAGCACAGCACAGGCATCCTTGTTCACTAGCTATCCTGGCCGCTGGCCTGCACTTTCTCAGGCCCTGGCTTCTGGGGCTTTGCTGGGCTGGCTTCCTTACCTTGTGCTATTCCCCTACTGCTTTCTGTGGGCTTGCAAAACGTGCCTCATCTGTCTCTAGTTAAAGCAAAACATTCTTCTTCATTATGCAAGCAGCATATTTTGTACAGTGTTTAATTCATTTTAGCTGAACTTCAAAAGCAGAGTGAAAGATGGTTTACCGAGATGATTTGCTAAAGAAGGCAATTCTTTTCCCCCAGGAACAATTCTGTTACCTACTTTTATCTGCCCTAGTCCTACCTACATGCAAAGTTTTGTGGCACACCCTACGTTTTGATGGATCAGCGAGGACAGCATTAGTTTTTGAAGGGCTTTTGAAAGAGATTCCTTCCTACTCTTCCAGACTATATACAAATCCCAAACCCGGTTGATTCTACTTGAAACATGCTTCTTCCCTCTGTAACTACCCTAGTCCAAATATCTTTTCGAAAACCTCCTAACCTCTTGTTGGGAGAAAAAAACCTTTTGCCAACTTTGAGTGACAGGGATGTAAGGAGAGCCTGAAAATTAACTGACATTGGAGTAATAGGACAAGTTGATTTTCACATGCATGGGGGAGCACCCCCTGTACAGTGACTTCCTGAACAAGTAGATAAGAGTTTCTAGACCCACTTAGTAAAGAGGAAGGGTAGGAATTCAAATGATAGAAGGTTCTAATGAAGCTTGTTTATACATTTTTTTTTTTTTTTGGAATGTCCCAGTGCCCAGGGCCAGCTGCCTCCCTGGCCATGGCTATAGACTTCCTGGAGGGGCAATTTGTGGCAGCTGACTCTTTGTGTTAGTCAGATAAGAGAAATTTAGATAAGCACCACCCCCCTTTTTTTCTGCATCTGTTATAACTCAGATATTTTCACTTTGCAATTATACTAATTTGGTGGGTTGGTGGTCCCCAGATTATCTCTCTACCTGCAGCCTATTTCTTACTAATCTGTTCTCCACATTGTAGCCAGAAATATTTCTAAAACACCTGATCTTGGTGTCCTGCCTTCTTAAAAATACTTCAGTGGCTTTTCACTGCCAAGGATTATGATGTATAATCCGAGATTTACCACTTGCCCACTAAAG